TTGATGTTCAGAGTCTAACCAGGAAGATCTCAATTCACAAGCACGAGCGATTCACAGTAACGCAAAAGTCTGTTTCTGGTTTCTGTAGATGTGGCCTGATTCACTTCCCCAGAGTCCTACAGCTTGATAATGGAAGAACAGAATAAGTAGGTGTGCAGACCTTGCCTTCACTCATTAATTTTTGTGGTGGGAGTCGCTCAACATTTGCCAAGAGAGTGGCTGGCGGCAGCCTAAATACAACTGCAAATTTGCAAAATAGATGTTGCTGTAAGGAAGAAGCCATCCTAACTGTATAAATATTTCATAAGAATTGTTTTCATTACAATAAGAGAGACAAAAGATTAGGGAAATGCTGGGAGTCATGTTTAGTATTGCTTATCTAATAGGTCAGATTCAAGTGCTCCCAATAAGCAAAAGATTGTGAACAACCAAAGCCAATGGTTCCCCTTCCTAAACAATTCAGTCCCAAAGTCATTAGGTAGAGCTGTGAGGAAAGAGTCCACAGTGAGGGGTGGAGGGCAGGGGCCATGGTGGCCAAAGCAGGGGATCAGAGCCCAAGTGATGAGGAGGTCAACCCCAAAAAGGGTGGCATGTTCTGTGATGTCACCACCTGATCAGGGCAAGGAGAGATTCTTCATAGGGTGGGAGAAAGGCAGCCTGGCATGTAGTATTAGAGGGTAAAGAGTGTATTTACGTGGAGCATGCCCATGCCTCTGTGTGTGTGTGTGTGTGTGTGTGTGTGTGTGTGTGTGTGTGCATGCAGAGAAACATGTATTCCTTAGCTCTGCCTGGGAGCAACAACATTTCAAAAGGGATGAGCCCAAATTTTGGATTCCAAATGCCATTTTCCATTAAAATGAATCAAGATGCCTTGGAGAAATGATTGATTCCATAACTGGGGCCAGGAAGTCAGAAGATGAGCCTAGAACATCTTGTTACGCTGGAAAGTAGGGATGTGCTCTAAGAATTACGGGGCCGTACCAGAAAAGCCACAGAATGAAGAAGCTCTCAGTGGCCAAACTGGGGACAATATGGGCTTTAAATTAAAGAATGATGGGAATGGATATAACTCACTAACTTTTATGGGAATCCAAACGTTCATATGGAGATAAAAAAAGAATTAAAATTGATGAAGAATGAGATATTTACACAATTTTAAAGTACCTCCCCATAAAATGCCTACCAATTACAAAGAGGAAAAGGCTCATTTTATAGTGAAGAAGCCCAGTAGACACCACCTTACCCATGTGATCAAAGTATTGGAACAAACCAAAGAGAGAATCCCTTGGCAGGCGGCAAGGGGAAGAAGGCAGTGTCACTTTCATGATTTTCCTGCTATGATGTATAACTTGAAGAAGCTTATACATCAGGAGGAAACATTAGACAAACCTTAACTTGAGGGACATTCTACAATGTCTGTGATCTTTAAAAGTGTCAAGGTCAAAACATTAAAAAAGTTTTTTTAAGGGGCGCCTGGGTGACTCAGTCAGTTAAGTGTCCAACTTCAGCTCAAGTCACGATCTCGTGGTTCACGAGTTCGAGCCCCACATCTGGTTCTGCTGACAGCGCAGATTCTATGTCTCCTCTCTCTGCCCCTCCCCTGCTTGCTCTCTTTCTCTCTCTCTCTCAAAAATAAATAAAAACATTAAAAAAAAGTGTCAAGGTCATGAAAGTCAAGGAGAGACTTTTGAATTGTACTTCCAGACTGAAGGGGACTAAATAGACTTAATTAAATGCAAAGTGATTCTGAACTGGATCCTTTTGTGGTAAAAGACATGATTGCAATAATTGGCAAACCTTGTTTCCTGGTTTTGATGGTCGTGCTGTGGTCAGGTAGGAAAGTGTCTGTATGCAGGAAAGACACAGAAAAGTACTGAAAGATGATGGAGTATCAGGACAACGTATTCCCAAAGAGTTCAAGAAAAAAAGAGGGTTTTGTTTTTTGTACCACCCTTGAACATTTTCTGTCACTTTGTGATTGCTTCAAAATTTAAAAATGATAAGAATCAAATATAGAAAATTAAATTGTAGATAAACAAAATGTGACATACACATACAATGGAATATTATTTAGCCTTTTAAAATGAAGGAAATTCTAACAGATGCTATGACATGGAGGAAGCCTAAAGACATTACAGAAAGAAAAATAAGCCCATCACAAGGAACAAATACCAAATGATTCCGCTTATAAAAGGTTCCTGGGGGGTGCCTGGGGGACTTCGTGCGTTAAGTGTCTGATTCTAGATTTAAGCTCAGGTCATGGTCTCATGGTTCCGATCATTATTTCATGGTTCATGAGATCGAGCTCCAACTCAGCTGTCAGCTGTCAGCACGAAGCCTGCTTGGGATTCTCTCTCTTTAGCTCTCAAAATAAATAAATAGGGGCACCTGAGTGGTTTAGTTGGTTAAGCGTCCGACTTTGGCTCAGGTCTTGATCTCGCAGGTCCTAAGTTCCAGCCCCACAGAACCTGGAGCCTGTTTCAGATTCTGCATCTCCCTCCCTCCCTCTCTCTCTCTTCTCTCTCTGCCCCTCCCTGGCTCTCACTGTTTCTCTCTCAAAAATAAATAAACATTTAAAAAGTTAAAAAATGAACTTAAAAAAAAGAGGTGCCTGGAATAGTCAAACTCATAGGGACAGATTATAGAAGGGTGGTTACAAAGGGCTGGGATGGGGGAATGGGGAGTTGGTGTTTAGTGGGGTCAGATTTTAGGTTCAGGAAGATGAAAAAGTTCTAGAGATGGAAGGTAGTGATGGCTGCACAACAATATGGATGTATTCAAGGCCACTGAACTGGTGAAGATAGTAAATATTATGTTACATATATTTTACAACATAAAATTAAATTAAACAACAGAAACTGAGATTCTTGCTACATGTTTAGCTTCAAATTGTTGCTGTGAAAAGTGACACCAAGGTTGGTGTGTGTCTTGAATTAAATATCAAATATTCTCTAACTCAGGTCCCCTGTTCCAGCTCCATGGAAGAAGCTTACCTTGAAAAAGGAAAGTTTTTGTGTAAACGCTTCATGTGGCCAAACATTTACTTGATGACTCTGTGACAATTTAGGAAGAACTCTTCCTGCCAAACATGGCTGTAGATGTCCATTCTTAGAGAGTTATAGAATATTTGAGAGCCTGATTCTTCAAAGTAAATCTGCTTTTAGTTACTTAGCTAAATAAAGCAACCCAACCAAGTGGCAAAACTCCAAGGTATGACATTGCTTTGGGCAAACAAGGCAAACCCTTCTGCTTCATAGTTTGCTCGCCTATAAAACTAGAGCACGCATGTCTGCTTATTTAATACAGAGGTTCTACAGTGCTCTGTCCGAGCCAATTCCTGTGGCCGTGAAACACGACACACAAATCCAGATGGAGGTTAAGTCTATGATGTTACTAACAATACATGCAGTTCCATGGGTGAGTTCTAGGGATAAAGCAAACAGTTGCTTTAATGTCTAGCTCCCCATCTACTGCACTGCTCAACCAATGGCATGGCCTACAAGCCTACTTCAAGGTCACAATGAGCACCATTCTCTGGTTGGGGGAGCTGGAGGCTCCACGCACCTCCTCGACTGGGAAAGGTCTTGCCTACGTGGTAATAATCTAGTACAACATACAAGATACAGTGAATCAAACAGCAAAGCACCTTGACTCCTTGGGCCCTGATTCCTTCGAGTCAAATGTCAGACATGCCAGGATAGACATTTCTTCAGTGCTTTCCAGACCTATGGTTTTCGTCGTCTGTAACTATTTACACGATAATTGATGAGTTGATGGGGTATGGATTACTAATGTTTTTTTCCCTTAATTTCTGTGTTTAGGGATATGTGTGTGCGTGTTTCTTTGAGAGTAAAATTAACTCTTAGTTGGTCAATTCTTGGAATGATTGGTCTCAGAAGCACACACGAGTCCGGAACTATACTTGCCCTACCCCGCAGGAAGTATGCCATCTGATAGCGTAATTGTACGGAAACAAATGTATTTAGTAATAGAGCCCCAGTCCGGAAGTAGACGTTATGAGACAGATAAAATAACACATGCCCTCTAAACCTAATCCTCTTATACCAGGCCTAGTGTAATTCAGGTTTCAAGGCCATATGAATACATGGGTTACGTTTCAGAAGACATGCAATTGGTCTAAGTCCAAATAAAAGTGAGCTAAGCTTGGCCCCCTTTCATTTATATCCACCCATCAACAGCTGTACAGAGACGGTTGTGTAAATGCTACGGGACGGCTTGGGCAGCTGTTTCAAAGGGTCTTTCAGTCCCATTAAAGCTGCATCCAGAAATAGCTGAGGCGAGCCAGACTCTGCACTGCCGGAGGTTTCACAAACTGAAAACCACACTCTCAGACATGATTATGCCCTTCCCTGCTCTGTTTTCTGGTTGAGATTCTCTGAGATTTCATTTTAGGAGTATTCCTGAACACCAGATGTTTGCGACTCAGGACCTGCACCGTAAGCTCTTTATTATCCATTGCATAAAACCGGTGAGGGTTGCACATCTTAGGCAGGATGGGGACGGTGCGGGGGACCGGCGCACTCTCAGTGCCAGAGAGGGGACATAGCGGTGCTAGTTCAGAGGCCGCGGTTTGCCTGGATGATTCGTGGCTGGGGCAAAGGGAAGAGCTTCTTCCCTGGGACTCCCATGGAGGTCACAAAGAGAAGCCCCCACGGGTGCCCTGGGAGGGAGACCATCAGAGGTCTCGGACAATCACAGTGAGAAAGGTAGGGGCTTCAAGGGGACTATGACCCGGCAGTTGGCAGGTGGGACAAGGCCCTCCGAGGGGGTTCCTGTCGTGTCCAGCAGCCAGAGCGCAGTGGGACTGCGGGCTCTCCCTAGCTCTCGGTGCATTTCCATGGGAACGGCAGCTCCACATTCGGCGGTGTGCTCCATCTATTTCTATGGCACCTGTCACCATGGCACCTACTTGCTCTGAAAAACACAGGCTAAAAACAGAACCTAAAGTAAAGGGGGGCAATCCACTTCCCCACAGTCACCTTCTGCAGCTGCTGTTACACCTTGTGATTGCTCACGTGGACCTTCTGCATTCCCAGTTTCCGTGTTTTTGTTGTAGGCGGCTTTAAAAAAATAAAAGGCTTACTATCAGCATCAGCATCGTCTTGGGGTGATGTGGCCCGAGGCTCCAGGAAGTCTGTACTTACTTGCGGCAGGTGTAAAATTTCTAGGCAGAGGGAGCTCCTCCCAAGTGGCTCTTCCCAGGGCTTGTTGGGGACCTCCTGTAAGGTGTTTAGGGAAGAGGGGGGAAGCTCGGGGTTAGTGAAGAGGGTCGGTGACACCAGTATACACAGATGACCCAAGAAAGGACCTGTATTTATCCCAACAAAGTAGATCACAAGCCCCTCCGGGAGCACATGGGACAGCCTCTTCAGGGGAAATCCACAAGGTCAAATGGCTTCCTTGAAGTTTTTCCCTAAGTTAAGGGCCACCCTTTACAGCACGGCCCTTAAACCCAGTCTCTGGAATCAGACAGAGCTTGAGTATGAATCCTGATTCTGTCACCCGCCAGCCATGTGAGATCAGTGGGCAACCTCTGAGCAGATGGTTAACATACTCATCTATAAACTAGGCATGAGAAAACACACCCCACAGGGACAAGCCACTTCCTATGACCTCAGCCTTCACTGTTTGGTTTGCCCAGCTATAAAATGGGGAGAATAACCAGCCTCGAAAGAGCTTTGTGATGGTTGAGGAGACAATGTATGGAAAGCCCTGAGCAGAGTACTCAGAGCTGCTAGAGAGGAAACTGTGAGCAGGTGAGCAGTGACAATGGCCAGGGACAGGGTGCTCAGCCTGCCCTGGTTCTCCTGGGCCTGACTTCCTGCTCTTAGGCCCTAGAAACAGGGCCCCCAGCCATGAGTAGCCTGCTGCCTCCAGACTCCCACATTCATCAGTGTCTGTGGGCACAGCATATGTGGCTAAGGACAAGCTCACGTTCCACAGCAAGAGTCACCATGCACAAGGGTCACCAGCCTGGTACTTGCAGTGATACGGGGACAACGAAATTCTCATGAACTGGAGCAACTCCAGCATAGTTCCCTGTTTGTGGGCTCTGGAGTCAAGCAGACCTGGGGACTCAAGTCTCCTCTCTGCACATCTGTTGGCTGAGAGACTCAACTGAACTTCCCTTTCCTTGCCCTTCTGTGAAATGGGGTCATGCCTCCTATCTCAGAGAGAGGCTGGGGCATTAAAGGAGAAGATGTAGGAGGAGCCTCCAGCCCAGAGTCAGCACAGAGTGGGCTCTCGGTAAATGTGGGCTCCCCTCTTCTCTACTCCCCCACTGAATGTTTTAAGGGAGAGTAAATAATCTACTTAATGAATTAAGGGTTAGCCTTTATAATAGAAGGAAACAGGCATGCTTCCTGAATTTGCTGAGGTGCTGGTAAATGCTCGTAAATGCTGAAACTCCCAGGCTCACACAGCGCCCAGCCCAGCGTTGGATGGCCCTCTCCAGGGCCCCCGCTGCCCTTCCTCACCACCCCCTCTCAAGAATGCTCTGCCAAACAAGCCTGTGGGCTCACTCTCACCCCTGCTTACGCCTTCCTTTTTATTTTATGAAAGTTAACTTCCCCCTTGTGAGCATCGTGGCTGTCTCCCGGCCAAATCCCACCCTCCAGGAGGGCCCACTTTCCACTTGAGGATTCACGTGCTTCCAAGAAACTGGACACTACCCCAAGGTGCTGGGGACAAGCATGTGGCCTGAGCCAACCCAATCACATAATTCTGGCCCCTGCCTGCAGGGATTGGCTCATGTGGCCTACGTGGGTCCAATGCCACTTGAACTATCCTGGGAATAGGGAACAGAAGGCCCGCATGGGCTGTCGATGTGAGGCTGGACTGTCCCAGCCGTTTGACTATCATAAGCAAAGCCAGCCAGTTGGCAAAACCAGTACATGAAGAGCAACAACCAAAGCCTCACCGAGAACCGCAGCCGAAGTCGTGGCAGCATGAGTACTCCTAGGTCAAACCACTTCTCTGACTCGCTCCACCTCTGACTTTCTTGGGTCTGTGAGTCAATACATTCCATTCATGGCTAAATCCATTTGAGTTGGGTTTTCCATAACACGAGGAGAAAAGCACCAGGAATGTTATTTCCTCTTTAGAGTTCCAAAGCCCTCATCACACTCAGACCTCAGCTCCAAAGCTAGGTCTTGAGGAAAGCCCGCCTAATTCTATTTCCTCCTCTACCCCGGCTCCTGTGTGTTGTTTATTGGGAATCAACCGCGCGCGTGACCCTGACAATAAAATCCATTTTCCCACCGAGGACACCAAGGCCCCAGCGAAATCATTTCCTCCATGGCTACACATTTAGTAGTTGGTAACATCAGGACTAGTCTAGAAATGAGGACCCTGTGTGATAGGTAGGCAATTAGTAAGTTTTCATTTCTTTTTCTAAATATGAAATTATTTAAAAATTTTTTTAATGTTTATTTTTGAGAGAGAATACGAATGAGGGAGAGACAGAGAGAGGGAGACACAGAATCTGAAGCAGAATCCAAGCTCTGAGCTGTCAGCACAGACAGGGGGCTTGAACCCTCAAACCGTGAGATCATAACCTGAGCCGAAGTCAGACACTTAACTGACTGAGCTACCCAGGCACCCCAATAGGAAATTATTTTAATTCCCCAGTTGGTTTATAACTTTCTTGAGCCCAAAGCTATTTTTTCTTCCTGTTTTGACCATCCATTGTAGTTGCTTGAAATGTGTTTGTTACCAAATGGTCAAGGGAGTGTCCTGTAGCCAGGAGCATCCTGGCCCAGGGGCCCGATAACACCCAGAGGTCTGCTGATTACATTAAGAAGTACTGGGAACTGGGCAAAGTGCTTAACATATGTAATCTTATATTTTTATTATTTTTAAAATTTTTAATTATTTTTGAGAGACAGTGCACAAGGGCAGGGGAGGGGCGGAGACCCAGGGGACAGAGGATCTGAAGCAGGCTCTGTGCTGACAGCGGAGAGCCTGATGTGGGGCTTGAACTTACCAACTACAAGCTCATGACCTGAGCCGAAGCTGGACACTTAACTGACTGAGCCACCCTCTCAGACATGATTATGCCCTTCCCTGCTCTGTTTTCTGATTGAGGTTCTCTAAGATTTCATTTTATGAGTATTCCTGACCACCAGAAGTTTGAGACTCAGGCCTGCACCACAATCTCTTTATCACCTGTTGCATAAAACCAGTGAGGGTTGCACATCTAGGCAGGATGGGGACGGTGCCCCAGTAATCTTGTTTTTTTTTTTTTCAGTGGCTCATTGTAGGGGCACCTGGGTGGCTCAGTCAGTTAAGCATTCAACTCTCAGTTTTGGCGCAGGTCATGATCTCACAATTGTGGGATCAAGACCCTCATTGGGCCCTGAGCTGACAGTGTGGAGCGTGCTGGAGACGCTCCCTCTCTCTGCCTCTCCCCTCTCTCAAAACACATAAACTTAAAATTAAGTTAAATTTAATTCTGTTTAAAAATGAAATAAAATGGCTCATTGTAGGGGCATGTGGCTGGCCCAGTTGGTGGAGTGTGCAGCTCTTGACCTCAGGGTTGTGAGTTCGAGCCTCCTGATGGGTGTAGAGATTACTTAAAAATAAAATCTTAAAACAAAATAGCTGATTGTATTTATGTAATTCTTGGACCCAAGGACAACTGGCCTTTTGCCAAGGCCTGTGAGCAGAACCTAATTAGACTGGAAGGGGAGGATCTGTCACGAAGCTCGAACACAGAAGGCAGTGGTCCCCTACTGTGGCAAACAGCTGTGTCGAAAGGCAAGGACTCTGGGTTTGATTCCTGGCTCTACTTCTCATTATCTGGGTGGTTTGGGGCAAGTTACTTTGTGTATTTCTGCCTCAGTTTTCTTATTTGCCAAGTAAGGATATAATCCTAACACCTCTGTGGGCTGTGGGAAGATTCAGTCATAACAGACACTCAGCGCGGTGTCTGACATCATTTTGCCGTGTTCTTGCTGTGCTGCTTCTTTGCTGGGCCCTAACCAGTGGCTGGCCCTCACAGGCATGCGCCCCTAGCCCTCACCCCTGCTCTGTGGATGATGGCCAACCCTACTCAGGAGCCAAAGAGAGATAAAGAGGTTCAAGGAAACACTGGCCACCAGGTGGGGAGAAGTTTCCATCCCATTCCTTGCCAAACATAGATTTGCGGCTAGAAACCCAGAGCACGCCAAGGAATAGTTATGGCCCAAGCTGCTTTGTTTCCTTGAAGATCATTGTGTTTGGATTATAACAAAGTGTTTTTCCTTTTGTCTCTGCCCAGCAAGCCATGAACAGTTCCAGATCCGACAGCCTGAGCACTGGGTCTAACTTATTAAAGAAAGGAAAGGGTATTTGCTAGGTGGTTTAGTATGTATTTTCAATTAAGATGTGAAACTGTTCCTTAAAGCAGCCAGGCTTCGCTCAGGTTTTGAGTGTTGTCATTGAACCAGGGCACACCTGCTCGGGGCTCTTTGTCAGCTGAGAGGAGTGTTCTTCCTCTTTGGGCAAATGTGACTGAGCCGTACTTCTCTGTGGCTTAGGTGGGGAGTTGGGGAGGGAAGCCTGAGGGACAGGAAGAGATAAGATATCTGACATTTGATCACTTCTTCTAATCTCCTGCATTCAAAGAAGGGGGTAGACCCAACAGTTTGCTCCACCCCAGGATGAGGCTTCTGGTGTTAAACAGTTCTATGTTCAGTTTCTATTTATGGGAGGCAGTGTTCTCAAAGTATAGCTCTCGAGGACACCTGCATCAGAATCCTGGACATGAAATTGATGAAATTGCAGATTTCTTGCTCCGTAAGGATTCCCACTGATTAAGACTCTACCAAAGATGGAGAACCTTGGGTAGCACGTTAAGAACCCGAGTTTGCGAGTCAGATTGTTATGGACTGAACCCCAAACTGCAGCTCCACTACCTACTACCTGTGGACCTTGGCCAGGTTATGTAACCTCTCTGGGTCTCAATTTCATCACCTGCACAAAGGGAGTGCTGAACAATCAAGAGAGAAGAAGTTCATGTGGTTGTTACATGGATGAAGTAAAATATCACGTGTTTAGCCACAGTAACTCTTCTTTTTATGTAATACCTGTGCTCAAAAAGTCTGAGGGCTTCCTGTTTACAAGAGATAATAAACTTGGCCATCACAAGCAGTGTTAAGAGTTCTACTAGTACTTTCCACTGGTTTTGATAAGGTTTTGTTAAGTCTACAGACCAGCAACCGACCTGGAGGTGTCATGA